CTAATGATGACCCTGGTGGCACTGCATGGAATGCTGTGCCTCTTATTACCAAGGATCCATGAGTATTAAAACTTCTTCCAGCGCTGAGCACAGTGGCACATACCTATAATCCCAGCAGCTCAGGAAGCAGAGGCAGGAGGATCACTTGTTCAAAGCAAGCCTCAGCAAGGTAGCAAGAACTTGCCTCAAAATTTAAAAATTAATAAAGGTCTGGTGATGTTGCTCAGTGATTAATTATCTCTGGGTTCAATCCCTGGTACAAAAAAAGAAAAGAAAAAAATTTTTTAGGACCTAGTGTGCACACTTATAATGAAGTGGCACCCCCTTTCTCCACAGAAAAGTCTTAACTGGGCTTCTCCAGAAATCTTCATCATGGCTGATTTTAGGACTGTCAGCAAAAAGAGTTCAACGTAGATAAACTTCCTATTTTCGCGTCACCTTATTTACTTGGCCACTGGCCGTAAAGATACCAGCACTCCAGGTGCTGGACACCCCCTTACTAGTTTTTCACAAACATGTACCCAGTATAGTAGTTTGTAGAAATGTGCAAATAAGGCCAGTGGCCTTGAGCTGGGCTTCACAGAGATGTCTACATTTTTAAGATAAGTTACAATTGGGCTCCATGGTAACAGCTAGCAGGGAGAAGAAAGAAAGGAGAAAAGAAGTTCTCCCCTTCACAGGTGTAGTTCTTAAAGGGTTAACTTTTTTTTTTTTTTAGAGAGAGAGAGAGAGAGAGAATTTTTTTTAATATTTATTTTTTAGTTTTCGGCGGACACAACATCTTTGTTTGTATGTGGTGCTGAGGATGGAACCCGGGCCACATGCATGCCAGGCGAGCGCGCTACCGCTTGAGCCACATCCCCAGCCCTTGAAGGGTTAACTTGCCCAAAACAGTGAGAGAAAAGCTGCTTTTATGTGAACTTCTGCAGACTGTGAACTTCTGAGGCCCTCCCCTTACATGCTGGGTATAAAACTCTGAAACTACCTGAACTCAGGGTTCAGTGGATTGATTGATTACAGCAAAAGCTGTGCCCTCTAAACCTGGCTGTAGCTAAATAAAACTGTTTCATACTACCTTTGGTGCCTTGCCTCCTCTGTCCCTACAACAATATACATGTGATGCGGGAGGCTGAGGCAGGAGGATAGAGAGTTTGAGACCAGCCTCTGCAACTTAGAGAGAACTTGTACCAAAATAAAAGAATAAAAAGGGCTGAGGGTAGAGCACTCCTAAGTTTAATTCCCAGTACTGCAAATAAATAAATAAATAATTCTTCCAGGCCTTGGGAGACTGAGTGGTAGGGTGCTTGCCTAACTTCCATGAGGCCTTGGGTATTTTGTGTTTTGAGGTTGAGGGGGGTGTTGTTTGTTTGTTTTGGGGGTTACTTATTTACCAATATACTGCAAATATGTTGGGATTGAACTAGGGATTGAACTCAGGGGTGCTCTACCTCTGAGCTACATCCCCTGCCCTTTATTAAGTTCTTTTCTATTTTGAGACAGGGTCCTGCCAAGTTGCCCTGGCTTGACTTGAACTTGCTATGCTCCTGCCTCAGCCTCTCAGATGCCCTTGGTTTGGTCCCAGCTTTGCAAAAGGATTAAAGGAAAGGAGAATAGGGAGAAAACCCCCAAATTGCATGAAAGGTCAATCCCAGAACTTTCTGCCTGTGTTATATAAAGCTGTGTGTACCAGAGTAGCTTTTGCAGACAGCAAAAACTGCAAATACAGGGCTGGGGTTGTGGCTCAGTGGCAGAACATTTGGCTAGCATGTATGAGGCACTGGGTTCGATTCTCAGCATCACATATAAATAAATGAATAAAATAAAGGTTCATTAACATCTAAAAAAAATTAAAAAACAAAACAACAACAAAAGCAAGCAAACAATAACAACAACAATAACAAACCCCGCAAATATAACCAGAAGCTGGTTTTGAATGTCCCAAGCCAAAAAGAGTCAGTTTGCATCCACACTAGCGGGAAAATCATAAGGTGGCCAAAAGGAACAGGGGACCCCTCAGCTGATAGTCCTTTGCTGTGCTTTTAAGGTAAACTCCATTGCAGGAGCGGGCTGCCCAGTGTGACTGATATAAATTCTACTTCTTCTCTTAGTGTCCCTGAGTGGCTCCCTCAAAGAGAGTACATGTGGGCATGAAGTGACAGATCCTGGTTTTCTAGGAAATTCCAGGGTAAACTGAGCAAACTGAACAGGCAAGGAAGGAGTGGCTTCTATGCACAATCACCACTCGGCTACATCTCCAACCCCCAACAAGAGACTGCATTGTGGTTTCCAGGGGAAAAGCAGGGAGAGACAATAATCCGGGAAGGGAAGGGAGGCCTGTCACTCTCTGTAAGGATGATCAGACCCAGGAGGTGTGAAAAGGCATATCACAGGCACAGAGGCTCAGAAGCACTAGGCCAGGAGGGCTGTCTGCTGTCAACAGCAGGAGACAGGCAGATAAGATCTGGGACAATTCCATGTGAACATTTCAACCCAAGGCCCTGGGTTGCTCTTTTGTCTCAGGAAAGTTGCTCCTTTTTAATAGTCTCCCTGAACACCTGAGGTGCCATTGACAGAAAAACTGAATCTTATTTTCAAATTCTTCAAGCATTACAGAAAAAAACTCCTGGATGAGATTTTATGAACTTTTCAGAGCTGAGTAACAGCTTCCTAAGTAGATGTTATTTGATTAGAAAAATGGGTGGATGAGTAGATATAAATAGATAGATGATAGATAGACTTCTATTTTATTGCATATAATCAATAATTATGGGCTGGGGTGTACCTCAATGGTAGAAGGCTTGCTTAGGAAGAGCAAGGCCCTGGGTTTGACTAAAAAAAAAAAAAAAAAGATTATATTACAAGGATTTATAATTCAGTTCCTAATGTCTATTTAAAGCAAATAAGTGCTTATGCCCTACGTATTCATCCTTATAATGATTAAGTCTTTACCACAATTGCAGCCTCTCAAATGTGGAGCAGTTTTCTTAGTTCAGTTTCCTAAGTGCAGCTATTAAAAAATAAGATGCGTTTCTTTTTCCTCTGGCAATGGTTTTTCAGCACACTTGGAACTGGTGTTAAAAAAGTGTGTGTGGGGGGGCATTTGTTAACACCAATTTTATACATGACAAACATATTCATTGAGGTTCTTTTTTTTTTTAATTGAACTTAGTGGCACTCAATCACTGAGTCACATGCCCAGCCCTATTTTGAATTTTATTTAGAGACAGGGTCTCACTGAGTTGCTAAGCACCTCGCCATTGCTGAAGCTGGCTTTGAACTTGCAATCCCCCCATCTCAGCCTCTCTAGCCTCTGGGATTACAGTTATGCGCCACCTTGCCCGGCTCATAGAGTTTTTAGGATAAATGTGCAAAGTTTTTCACTTGTTTATTCCTATACTTACTAAACTGCAATAGAAGGTACTGCTTAGAAAGTACTTCAAAAAATTTGATGACAACTTTGGGATAAGAAATGATTACTGCCTAGAAATATTTATGTCTCATAACTTGAATAATTATTTTTCTCATGAATCAAGGAACTCTAAGGCAACCTTCTATTAAATTTTACATTGTTTTTGTTTTTTGTTTTTAAATTCTACATTGTTTTACTTTGACACTTATGTGAACATTACATTCAGTTCATTTTTTTTCATAGCCAATAGTTGAAAAGGTCAAAATGCCAATAAATTTATTTACAATATAAAATTTTTAAATACTATAATTCATAGGCTTCTGAGCTAAAGTGGATTTAAGAAGCTGAACAACTTGGTGGAAGTTTCTTCTACTTGAGGCACATGCTCAACAGGGACATTCTGTATAACAGCACCTTCTTGTCTTGACTTTTCCTTTCAATTCAGCTTAGAATTTTTTTTGTGTGTGTATGTGTGTGTGTGTATGTGTGGTGCTGGAGATGGAACCAGGACTAAGCAAGCACTTAGCTAAACCATTAGCTTTACATATTCTAAATGAAGTTCATAAGGTTTATAAAATAGCAGTCTTTTGATCAGTTAATTCATCAATCAGGCTGTATTACCTATTCCAGGGGCTTTCTGAGTTTTGTTTTGTTTTGTTTTGTTTTGTTTTGTTGTTTTTAATGGGCTGGGCCTTATGCATGCTAGGCAAAAGCTCAACCACTGAGTTATATCCCTAGCCCCTTTCATATTTTATTTTCAAATTGTTCTTGCTAAGTTTCCCAGACAGTCCTCAAATTTGTCATCCTTCTACCTCAGTCTCCTGAGTAGTTGAATTACAGGTGTGCACTAACATGCCCAGCTTCTTTTCTGTGAATAACTTGGAATATCTACTTGTTCTCACTCTCCTGATTTCCAGCTGTGGTCTCTGTCCAAATAGGGCAGTTGACCAATCAGTGGGAAGCCAGAGTAGAAGACAAGAGATTCTCAGATACCTTATGACTTGCTAGAAGACAGCACTTTATCCCTCTTTTTGTGTTTCCAAAGTTATTTATACAGTTTAGCATCTGTTTCCTACATGGTGCTGCCAGGAGACCCTTGTTGGGCCTCTTCAAACCAAATCGGTCCCCTTCCTTCCTAGCCTTACTGGGTCTGCAGCTACTGAAGATTCTTCCCTTTATGGGGATGTTGTGATCATCCCAGGAAGGTGCTAATTATAGCTGCAGAAAAGGAGCCATGGGTGCCAGGCTGTCTGCTCCTGCAATTGCTCCCTCTCCCCTGACTTTCTCTATTCAGGGAACATTTTTAGGCAGTTGCTCTTAGTCAAATCCACAGCACAGGAACACACACACACACACACACACACACACATACACATTGGTCTGACAGTGAACAAATGGATGAGATGTGGTATTGGTAAGACACTGGGAATGAGGGCTTCTCAGAGAGTGGCAGTGTCTTTAAAGTCTGTCGGGCCTCTTCATGTACACTCTGAAACTATTAGAGAGGAATTCTGGGTTCAACAAGCCCACACTGTAATATTCATGCATGAACTCAATGCAGAACTTAAAATAAGGCTCAGGAAGCAAGAAAGGCTCTTTCATATTTATTACATAGTACAAATATTCACCTAATGGTTCACTTTGTAGAAGAGTAAGCAATTCTATTATTTACAAGAGAAAATTAAAGAGGATGCCCAAGTCCTGGCTTTCCTACTGGGAACACAGTGGCTCTTGTATCATAATCAAGGTTTAGTCTTCCAAGTCCCAAGAGGGAGCTTCTGTTCACTTAGAGTCTCCTTCACAGACAAGGCACTGCAGGACGGCACAGGACAGCAGGAGGAGAAAACTCAGTAAACTATATGAGCTTGGCCCATTGGCATGTGAGGGGAGAAAGTCTTTCAAATCTGAAAAAGAACAGGGAGAATACACTGTTATACACCTGGTTTAAAGGAATGAAATAGAAATGCTTGTACCTGTTCTTCTAAAGGCACTCTTCTGCCTTGCCCTCCTCACCAGAATCTGACTCTTGGGCCCTGCTTCAGGGCTGGCAGTTTGGGAGGTGGATGGGGGTGTGTGAGGAATCTGTGTTCAATGCCTCCTTGAGAGGAGATCTCACTGGAGCACAGTGTTCAGGGGCAGCCCTGCCAGAACTCAGCTAGGGGAAGTGTGCCATTTAACAATTGGGACCAGTAGAACAGACTTAAAACAATGCAACAAAATAAAACAGCCTTCAAACCATCTGCTGCAAAGATAGTCCAAGTTTTCCCCAGATTAGTTCTAACAATATTGCTTATAAGTAGGAACAGAGTTTATTAAATAGGAGGATGCAGCAATTCCTAAAGTCACAATCATTCATTGGAACATTTCAGGAATGCTGGGTACATCCCTCACATTAAGACATCCAAGGTGGCTACAAAATTTTTTAACTTTTTTTAATCTCTCACTTTGTTGGTCAAAGAACAAACATACAACCAGAGACATGAAAAATTGTGCTCTATATGTGTACTATGAATTGAAATGCATTCTGCTGTCATATATAACAAATTAGAATAAATAAATTAAACAACAACAACTTGAGCATATTCCCCATTTAGTGGTGGAAGCACAGTTGAGTGTGCACAAATTTTATTTTATTATTATTATTATTTTAATATTTATTTTTTTAGTTTTAGGTGGACACATATCTTTTTTTTTAAGAGAGAGAGAGAGAGCGAATTTTTTAAATATTTATTTATTAGTTTTTGGTGGACCCAACATCTTTGTATGTGGTGCTGAGGATCGAACCCGGGCCGCACGCATGCCAGGCGAGCGTGCTACCGCTTGAGCCACATCCCTAGCCCGTGGACACATATCTTTATTTTATTTTTATGTGGTGCTGATATTTGAACCCAGTGCCTCATGCATGCTAGGCAAGCATGCTACCCCTTGAGCCACATCCCCAGCCCCAAATTTGATTTTATTTACATCTTCCCTTCCAGACATGAACAAGACTCACAGACATGATGAAAATCTCTGGAACTTTTAATAAATCTTGCCCATGGCCCACACAGGTGACAGAAAGTGGGTTCCCCTTCGTGGAGTGGACTGGCTGAGAAATATGGCAAAAAAATCACAGGCCACAGAAAATAGATTTAAAGAGTGGGGGCAGGACAGCTCTTCGACTTTAAGGGTGGAGCTTCCATGCTGGAAAGAGAAAGTGAGAGCCTGAATTTGTTTTATTTATATGGGGGAACTTTAAAGCTTTTGCACAGATGTTCTTAGTCAATTAAGGTAGGAGGTGGGCTGTCCAGTTCCCAGTGGGTCACACCCAACTCTGGAGCTAGGAGATCTGTCTTCCTAGCCTAATGAAGACTGAAGTCACGTGTATTGTGTATCCCTTAAGTGGGAGGGACCACAAAATAGCATACAATGCCAGACCAAAATCTCCTTGGCTCAAGGCTGAGTGAAGACGCTAAATAGCTCAGGAGTGGCTTCCCACAGATAAATGTATATACAAGGTCATAGTAAATCATCCATCAGTATCAGAGTTTCCTTTTGAGTAAAACATAAAATAACAGTGGGTCGAAAAATCATTGATCATGATCATTAGGTTCACCTGTTGCCTGTTCATCAACCCCCCTTCACCACCAGGACACAGGAGCATACCTGAGCACCTCCTTCTGCAGCCCCCCTCCACAACAGTCCTCACTCATCTGTACCCTAGGAGTCCCCTTTCTGGTTCTCTGAGCCTGGGACCCCAGCCCTGGGCAGCTGAATGGGAATTTCTGAGGTGGTGGGGCTGGGCAGGAATCTTGGTTAAAATCCTCAGTGGTGATGACCATATGAACCTGCCAACCCCACAGGCAAGTTACCAATTCCATCACATCATTCTCACATCAAGACTGGGGGTGGGTGTCTGGCTGGGCTACTTAGCACATGCCAGCGTGGCTTGCCCCAGACAGGCACAAATAGTGAACCAGTGATATGGACAAGCAGTGGCAGCAGGGGCTCCCCAGACCTGTGCGAAAGTGGGCCACAGTGTGATCTTCCCAGATTCTAGCTCCAGGGACCAAGGTCAGGCCCACTCCAGGACTGAGTGCTACCTCCCTGTATCACTCCACCGTGGATGAGAGTGCCAGATTCCCCAAACAGGGAGCCTACCAGCTGGGTCCAGGTGAGACTGATGTTGACAGGTCCTTACACCTGATCAGAAACTCTTCTGATGAGAAAGGAGTCAGTATTAGGTCCATGATGACCTCCCCTTGGGAGAAGAGAGCAGGCTTCCCTAACAGGAGAATTCAGGCCCCCTTGGCTGTGACTTTAGTCAGCTTTGTGAATCTGTAAAGAGGGTTAGACTAAGATAGCTGCTCAGTTAGGGGTCCCCAGATTGGAGATGTGAACACCATGGAATGTGCTCCCCAGAGGGCCTGAGGTCACTCATGAGTTTATAAAGAAAAATATTAGAATTTCCAATTCTAGATTTATGGAAAAAATTAAAAATATAATTTAATAATATTTACGGTGCTTACTAAAATTGATAAAATCAATGATTTTGCTATTCTCCATCATTTTATGTCACACCAAAAGGAAACTCTTCTACCAATGGATGGTTTATTACTGTGAACTGGGAGTATTATTATATACTTATTGAAAGGTCCTTCTCAGCTGGGTATGGTGGTGCACACCTGTAATCTCAGGAACTCAGGAGGCTGAAGCAGGAGGACCACAAGTTCAAGGTCAGTCTCAGCAATTTAGTGAGACCCTGTCTCAAAATAAAAAAAATAAAAATGGCTGGGGATGTAGCTCAGTGGTAGAGTGGTAGTGGGTTTAATCCCCAGTACAAGAAAATAAAAATAAAGAAGGTACTTCCTAGACTTTAGACATAGCAGAGATCTTTGTCATTATGAGTCTTGTGCATATGTGAAAAGGAAGATATAAATGAAATCAAGTTTGTGTGGGCTCAGCATGGTAACGGTGTCTTCACTGCTGAATGGGGAGTATACTCAAATTATTTTTTTACTAATGAAGTTTTTGAAGACCACAATGAATGAGGATAATATCACCTTTCAATATGAGGGCCAAACCCAGCATTTTTGAAATTCTTCAATTTGTAGCTACCCTAGAATCCCCTGGGAGCCAGAAGGCTTCCTCGCCTGCCCTCAAACCCAGGAAAGCTTGCCCACAGAAATGACACCAGTCACAGATAATATCCTAGGAAGGTAGGACAAAGGCTCAGAGTTGACTGGGTTCTAGGACCTTTAAGGCCATCCTTACGGAATCCGAAAGGCTGAGTCTGGCTAATTTTTGTTAATTTGTTTGTTGGTTATTATTATTAATTTTTTTTGCCAGAAATGCATTTTTTTTTAAAAAAAAATTGAGTTTACAGGGGTTGGGGATGTGGCTCAAGCGGTAACGCGCTCGCCTGGCATGCACGGGGCGCTGGGTTCGATCCTCAGCACCACATAAAATAAAGATGTTGTGTCCACCGAAAACTGAAAAATAAATATTAAAAAATTCTCTCTCTCTCTCTCTCTCTCTCTCTCTCTCTCTCTCTCTCTCAAAAACAATTGAGTTTACAATAAGTAAATATAAAATAAAATTGAGTAGCTTGACTTGGCCCCACCTCACATTTGTGTTACCTATCTATCTCTTGAGTTTGCTACTTCACTGGGCCATTACATAGGTACCAAATTTTAAATTAATACTAAAAAAATCTATTTTAGCATTGGGGATTGAACCTAGGGTCTTGAGCTCCACCATCATCCCTAGAGTATTTGGATTTTTTTTCCTTGTTTTTGCACTGCTAGAGATCATACCACGTCCCCCCTGCATGCCAGACAAGTGCTCTACCATTGAGTTACACCACCAGCCTTTCAATTAGTTCTTGATGCTAATGACAATTTCTTGGTTCTCTGCTTCATAGGTAGCCATCCTGTTGGTCTAATTGAGATGAGCTTGAGCTGGTTTAAGGTCTAAGCAAAGACTCCTTTTATTCTCGAACATCAGTCAGAGTGACCCCTGGAGACCCTCAGCCTGAAAATTTCTGAGTGGGTGGAGTAGCATAATTTTACGTCATATTATCTATTTTCAATCCCTCCCATGCATAGATGTCTTTCCCTACTATTAAAATGATATTGTGAATACAGTTTTTCTTCTATCTATCTCCCATATACTCTTGAAAACATCATAAAAAGCTATTAAAGGATTTAGACCATAGCCACATTTTCAATATGCTAAGCAACACTATCAAAAATATCTCCATTCTGGCCTGGGGTTGTAACTCAGTGGTAGAGCACTTGCCTAGCACGTGTAAAGCACTGGGTTCAATTCTCAGCACTGCATATAAATAAATAAAATAAAGGTCCATCAACAACTAAAAAATATATTTAAAAAAATCTTCATTCTTTTCATATTGAGAATTAGTCTTACATGAATGGCACAGTGGTTAAGAATCAGGTCCTATTTGCTACCTATGGGAGTTAACCTCTCTCTAAGCCTCAGTCTCCTCAAATATAAAAAGGTATAAAATATACTTCATAGGCTGTTATGAGAATTAGATGAGATAATAGGTATAAAGTGCCTGAAACATAAAGAGCTAACAAATGCAGTTATCACCATCATTATCAGTCACATCCTGCCATTTGATCACTATTAGCAGTCATCATCATCACCATTTTAACTTGCCTAGAGCAGAATAGGTCAACCAGCATAATGGTGTTACCCTTTTTTCTGCACCTGACAAACTGCTCTGAAATGAGACTGCACCGTACTATTTTATCCAGTTTTGATGAACAGAAGTCACATTTTCAGAAACTGTTGTGACTATTCTTAGCAGAAAGACAGCAGTCTCAGCCCTAGATGCTTTGAATGATATAAAATAGTGATTAAGATAATACTGGAACCCAGTTCCTGCCCTGATGGCCTTGCATAGAAGCCTGACTCCAGCTATGACCTTCCTCAAATTCCTGCTGAGGAAGCTCTTGCAGGTGGAATCTGACTTCATCTGTGAGGGACCCTGTGTAATTCTGATGCCTGTCCCTAAAATCTATGTCCTTCACTCTCTGATCATAGTAGGAGCAGTTGGTGAATCAGAGGCATGGCCCCAGCAAATGGGACAGACCATAGGAGAGAGAGGACTTTGGGGAAATGTAGCTTGCATGAAAGGGAGGGAGAGATGAATAAGGTGCTAGAATTTCCTCTCCACTTGCAGGTGCAAAACTAGCTGAGGAGAAGGGAGTGAGTGATGGGCCAGGAGGGAATGAGAGCTGTGCCTAGACTCCCTTGACTCCTGGTCCCACTCAGAAGAAAAGAGAGGCGTGAGAAGGTGGGTCAGAAATTGAGCATTCACTGAGTGTGCTTCTCCATTAAGGACCCACCAAGGTCAGAATGAGGAGAAGACAGTAAATAGGGATGAAGGGCTTTCCCTCCTGGTTGTCCTGGCTGTCTTGTTTGAGGGGGAGAGAAGTGGAATTGAGGGGCAGTGCAAATATTAACTGTGTCGCTCCACTGCTGGAAGAGCCCAGTAGTTGACTGAGGTGGAGGGAAGGGCAGGAAAGAGGCTTTGGCCTTAGTCTCCCCTCTGGACACACTGCACAAACTACCCAGGATGACACAAACAGAGGCCCATGACTTGGGTTGAAGGGCAGTGTCTTCACTGACTGTGCTTACCACTGCTCATCCCAGTTAGCACCTGTTGAAAAGCAGTATTGAAAAGAGACAGGGCCCGGGCTATTGGATTGAAACGTGGTGCCACCTCAATTAGCTTTTGCAGCCTGACAAGAGAAAGGGTGCGACTGCCCAAGCCTCCAGAACCAAGGCCTGATCCCTTCTGGTTCCAGTGCCCTCTGGCGGGAAGAGATGGTATTGGCCAGTGTAGGGACATTTTCAGAGATTTATTCAGCTACCCTGACTCCCAGGTTCAACACTGCTTACCAGCTTGTCATCGCTGGAAGCTGCGCGCACAGTAAAGAACGCACATGTTAAACCCAGCAATCCGGACATGAGAAACCTTAAACAAAATTAGTAAATAATAATAATAATAGTTCACTGGGTAAGTTACAATGAGTGTGGTTTTCTTCAGGAATGAATTTAGTTTCTTATTTCTGGGTCGCTTGGCACAGGAAGCTGTTGTTTGAGTCCGTACTCAGGATGAACCACAAAAAAGGCGCAAACGCACAAGTGTGTCAAGAGCAGAAGTCTCGGGTCCTCTTACCACAGCGGCCGAACGTCTGGCGGGGAAGACAATGGAGGGCCCCAAAGACGCACCTGCACAGGCGGCAACCACTGAAGGTCCAGGCTCCATGCACCAGGGCGCCGCAATCGCTGAGGAGGCGGACACCAGGCATCAATGCCTAGGTCCACGCACCCTGCCCGCAGCGCCCCCTCCTGCCCCTTCCTTGGGTCGCGTCCCCCGGTCCCCAGCGCCCACCTGCGTCTCTGGTCGTGCTCGCAGTAGCGGCCGGTGAAGTGGGCTGGGCACACGCAGAAGCTGCCCAGTACACAGGTGCCGCCGTTCCAGCAGCAGCGCTGTCGCAGGGACGCACCTGTGGAGGCGGGGTGGGTGGGTGAGTGGGTGTCGCTCAAGTTTAATCCCAGCGCACAGTGCAGGCGCTGCTCCTGGTCCCGGGGAGAGTTGGCCGAACTCGTGACCGCCCCGTGGAGGCAATAAAGCTTTCCGCTAAGGGTGTTTGCTTGGGCAAACCCTGCTTGTTAATTTAGGGATTAAAAACAAACTACCCGGGGTGCAGGAGGTCAGCAGAGTCCGGTGACACACAGCAAATTGGATTTTTCTCTCTCTTTTCACATGTTAAAGTCAGTGGCTTTACTCGACAGGGATTGAAGAAGACAGGCCTCCCAAGCAGGACCACCCACGGGTGTGGTGACGCCAAACCCAGAGAGGCCCCCTGGGGACGCGGAGACTGGAGCCCCAGAGTATGCGATAAGCCAAACCAGGTCCACTATTATCTTGGTTTGGAACGTTTGTCTTAAACACATTTAAGTCACAGTTCTCTAGACCTGTGGAAAATAACCATTGGAGATCAAATGCAACGTTTTGCCAATGAAATAGTCAAACTTTTAAAGGAGGAAATTTCTCACTAGGAAATATATTTTTGCTTTGCAGTGATTCATAACTTGAACATGCCGAGATGTTCTCTCTGGGGTTTCTTATTTTTATCCCCAATTTATCCCACGGATTTTTATTAGTTTGTTTTGTTCTGTTTTTCGAGACCCTATATATGAGTCCACCGACTTTGGAGAAAAATGTTTCCGGGGTCGGGGACGCCTAAACTTACGCTCTCCATAAGCTCTGGAATAGGGAGAACCCCGCAGCCACCAGTCCTCTTCGCTCCCATTCACCTCCCTGAAAGTACTCAGAGTCCAGTTGAGGGTTGTCTGCTGGAATTTGGGGGCTGCAAAATTTTTTGCTTCTTCTCTGCCACCTTTATGTTTCCTTCTTTGATAACCTTTTCAAAAACATTAAAAATATTAGACCGATAAGGATTGAGAAACATATTTCATGAAATGAAAACTGAGACTATGAATAAAATGCATCTTACTGTTTCCCAAATGGATGCTCTGTAATGCCAAACCCATCATAAAGAGAAGCCTAGAATATTTAAAGAAAAGTATTAAATTTTGAAAGAGTATAAGCAGAACTTCATATTATACATATAAAAATGTAGTACAATCATACATAACTACACAAAATATTTAGCACAGTAAATGTAATCAGTTTGTTACTTGTATATTTTGACTAATGTTATCATAGCTAGAAAGATTTTGAGATTCAAGTGCACACTTCCTTTAATGAGAAGAAACTGTCATGCACGCATTGCAATTTATCCTGAGAATTTTAAACCCTCATCTTGGCTCTAAGATCTAAATGACACTGTTTTACCTGACGTGGTGCCTCCAGGTCATTTTCCCACTGACACGCCTGGTCTCCTGTCATTAATACATTGAAGATCAATTTCCAAGGAAGTTGTGTCTGAGCAGTTTTTGCATTGGAAGGTATCTTTACTCAGAACATAGAATAGGTAAGTATGGAAAACACAGGCATTTCCTTCCCTCTGTCTTGTCTAAGAGAAGCAATGATGAGATCTTTGAGCTCTGCTGTTGAAGCCCAATAGGCGAGGGCCTGCTGTGACATCCAGGAGTCTGAAGGACTGTCCCTCAATGAGTCCTGGCTAGGAGGGGGTGGAGATATGGGCTCACCCCCACCCCCACCCCCAGCAGTATTTGCAATCCTAACTTCAGCAGGGGTGGCCAATCCCTGGGGTAAAACATTGGTGACCAAAGTGACAAACCTTCTATCACTGGAAAACAAAATTAAGACTCTAACACAAATTTAAAAATGGAGATTTTCTATTGCATTCTCCTGTACTGGGAGTTGTGAGAGGGCTCAGCTGGAGAGGAGACATAACCAGTAGCTGGGGTCCCAGAAGTCATGAATTGTGAGCATGAACGTAAAGGAGGACATTTCAATCCCTTACTTCCATAGATGGAAACTTTGCCCAGTTTGGGAACAGCTGTACCCATTTACTACAACACTCCTTTGGGAGAGGTGCTAGTCCTGCTCCCAGGTAAAAGGCAGTAAAACTGACACTTTCTAGAGGCTAATCCTCTTGATAGTTAGATCTTTGAAAAATGCAAAATGCACATATATTATGAGAAACCCACTGGTCATAGCATGCAGAGTCCCCTGTGCACAGGTGAAACTGCTGTACACATTTGTCTGATGAGCCTATCTGAATCCAAGAAGAGAGAGACTTGGATGTCTCACCTGGCACTTTGTAAGTCTCAGTATTTCTAATTGTTTAAACTGAAACTCTGGTTCTTTTATCAGCAATAAAAAGGACACCTTGGAACTCAGTGTGACAAATTGTTGTGTGACTTTAATTTAAAAAAAATTTTTTTTTTGAAAAATCATGTTTCTTCCAAAGTTGAAAGAGTCTTTGACACTATTTGATTTCTTACACATTTAAATGTGAGTCTTATTAAATAGAATGTTAAAAGTAATTTAATTTAATTATATGTAAAAAGTAAGTACATTTTATGACTTTGAATTAACAGAAACTTCTGTATGAACTAAGTGTGTTATGTATTAAAATAAAAATTATTGAAATAAAGGACTGTATTTCTTTATATAAATAAGTTTTAAAATCATCCATGTAACAGAATGCTGTGGAAAACAAATATTTCTGATAATACTAAAGTTTTAAAAAGAAACATCTAAAATCTAATCCCCCCTATTCAACTTTTTTACAGTGGACATTTCCAAACACATACACAATCTGGGAGAATGATCAGTAAACTCAGGTTCACCAATTAAGTATTAGCCTTTGCCAATCTTATGTACCACAATTATTTTCATTGTGGAGTTTAAAAGCACTTGCTTGTTTAAAAGCACTTACCCCAGATGTTGAATTGTTTCATATCTAATAAGGTTTTGAAAATCTGCAATTTATAAATGGAAAATGTAGAAAAAGGAAAGGAAATGTTTGCTTGCAACACAGGTTTGAGTCAGAAAATGAGGGCTGGGGTGTAGCTCAGTGGTACAGGGCTTGTCTGGTGGGTGCAAGGACCTGGCAGGGGGTAGGGGAGAGGGAGAAAGAGAAGAGAGGCAGGCCAGCAACAGAATGTCCCAATTCTGTTTACTTAAGATCAGCTCTGGGGATGGGGCAGGGCTGAGTGCCTGCAGTGATAAAGCTGCTGATAAACTATTTTTCACCATACTGTTACTCCATGCAGAGCTTTGTTGTCCTTTGTTGTCTCATTTGCTCGAAGGTTTTACAAAAAGAGTTTTGCATTTCAGTGCTGAGGAGCTGCCATGTTTGTGATCAACAAAGCCCAGCAAGTAAAGGTTGCCTGGGAACAGCTGGAGTGGGGGAAGGTGGGTCCTTTGCCTTGGGGGAGGTCCTCTCCCTTGTTATCAGTTGTAAACAGATAAGGTAGGAGCCACCAATCCAATCTCCAGTGGATGCCCTGACTCATTAGATGGTGGGAACTGGGACTCTCATGCCAAGAATGGGCACTGTCCCTTGTCATGTTTTCAGCACATCAAACATTCACAGAGGAAGATGCTCTGTAGCAAATTAGGTGTGAAGGAATTCTGTGAGAATTGCTTTAAAGCTGAGGTTGTCCTCATCAGCTACTCACTGGGTTCCATGGGGGAGTGAAAATGTCTTCTCTCCATCCTCCTAGGTGCTTTGGCTTGGCTACTTTTTGTCTCTATAAATTTTTCTTTTCTAGGTATTTCATGTTAATGAAATTATACAATATTTGTCCGTGTGTGTATGTGTGTGTGGCCGGGGGTGGGGTGGGGATTGAACTGGGGACCTCACATTCTAGGAATGTGTTCTACCAAACCTATGCTTGTCCTTTGGCACCTCACTTCTTTCACATAGTGCGATGCTTTTAGGTTGTAGCATGTATTAGAACTTTATGTCTTTTCATAAGTGGAAAATATCTCATCATATGTATATTCTCCATTTTTGTTTATCTGTCATCTGTTCATGGATACTTGGGTTCTTTCTACCTTTGAGTAGAGCAGAGAGGGAAAATGGCCATCTACATACCAATAAGGGAAGACAAAATTTTGATATTGGACTTCCAGCCTCCAGAACCATGAGAAAACAAATTTCTGTTCGTTAAACCACACAGTCTGTGGTATTTTGGCATGGGCATATGAGCTCATACCAAGGTTTTTGGTTTTTTCCTATTAATTTTTTCTTTTTTTGTTGCTGTGGACTGAATTCAAGGCCTGGCTAGTCTAAGCACATACTTTACTACTGAATTATACCTCTAGCCATATTTTTTTTCATTGTTGTTACATATTACGTGTATACATATACACACATAATATATATATACACACATATTATGTGTATTAAGTCATTTTGGTGTGACCAAAATACTTGTGGAGAACAGCTTAGAGTGTTGCTGGAAGCTTGGTCCTTTCCCTGATGCCAATATAATGATGAGGACATGGTTTTGAGGAAAAGGAAAAAGAAGTTTTATTGCTTTGCTAGCAAAGGAGAAACACAAGGGACTCCTGTCCCAGAGGCTATGATTTTGCCCATCAGCAGGAAGAGGGGGCTTTTAAAGAGATGATTCAAAGACTACATTCCACATGCTTTCTGAAGTTGTAATTCACTTGTTAATTTGGAAGATAGTCATTTCTGAGATCTTCCAGTACCATCCCCAAAGTCTGGATTATTTCATTCCTATGGTGGGTATGTACTTAGGGACAGATAACTCTACCTAGGATGGGGAAGAAAGGTAATCCTGTTTCCCCTAAGATTAGGGAGGGGGAGAGATTTGAGAGGAGCAGGGAGAGAGGAAGAGAAAGAAACATGTCCATTTAAAAAAATCAGTTGCAGGGACAGAGCTGCAAGGGTAATATTCAAAGCATAAAGTGGAGCACTGTTACAAGAGGAGGAAAAGTTAATTTGGGTTCATGGTTTTGAAGGTATCAGTCCATGATCAGCTGGCTCCATTGCTGTAGTCAAGAACATCATGGTGGAATGGTGTGGAAGAGGAAAGCTGCTTAGCTCATGGAAACTGGGAAGGAGAGGGAGAGAGGCAGGGCACCAAAGATAGCAGGAAACAGTTTTATTTGGCCGCAGCCAGGTTCAGGGGGCACAGCTTTTGCTGTAATCAATTAATCCCCTGAACCCTGAGTTCAGGGAGTTTCAGAATTTTATACCCAGCATGTAAGGGGAGGGCCTCAGAAGTTCACAGTCTGCAGAAGTTCACATAAAAGCAGCTTTTTCTTTCACTGTTCTGGGCAAGTTAACTCTTCAAGGACAACACCTGAGAAGGGGAGAGCTTCTTCTCCCCTTTCTTTCCTCCCCAGGCCAGCTGTTACCATGGAGCCCATTTGTAACTTATCTTAAAAATGTAGACATCTCTGTGAAGCCCAGCTCAAGGCCAGAGGCCTTGTTTGCACATTTCTTCAAAGTACTATACTGGATATGTTTGTGAAAAACTAGTAAGGGAGTGTCCAGCACCTGGAGTGCTGGTATCTTTTCGGCCAGTGGCCAAGTTAACAGGGTGACACGAAAATAGGAAGTTTATCTACATTGGACTCTTTCGCAGAGACTCTTTTGCTGACAGTCCTAAAATCAGCCATGATGAAGAGGGCTTTTCTGTGGAGAAAGGGGGACAGTCCACGCTCCTGTGCTGGTGGACTAGACCCACTTAAGAACACCTCTCAGCACTTTCCACTTCACTCCTGAATCATTCCTGGTTTCCTATCAGTTGTATAAATATGAATTTCCTTGACCCATTTTTAATTAAATACCTTATTTATCCTGTGTGTTATTTAGCTTTTCATTACTGTGACAAAATACCCAAGACAATCCACTTAGAAGGAGGAAAGGTTTACTATGGTTTTGGAGGATTCAGTCTATAGTTGGTTGGTTCATTACTTTTGGGTCTGTTAGTGGTGGGGTATATCATGGTGGGAGCATATGAAAAATGATGCTCATCTCATAGAGGCAAGAAAGCAAAAGAGGGAAGCAGAAAGGGACCAGGGTTCCAATATCCCCATTATACATCCCAATGACCTAACTACCTCCCAGTAGGAATCCTCTGAAAACAGAGGGAAGACCAGAGGAGCAGAGGAAAGAGATGGAGGAAGAATGAGAGAAGGTAGGAACTGTGGAGTGTAGTTGACAAATGATGTTATATACATGTATATATGAATATATCCAGTGAATTTCACTTTTATGTCTACCTATGTTGCACCAATTGAAAAAAGCAATAAATAAGTAGGAGGAAGATGAGGAGAATAGAGGAAGGGGAACAGAGATGGGAGGAGAGGAGGGAAAGAGGAAGTACTGGAATTGAAATGAAGCAAATTATATTCCATGCATGTAGCATTACGTCAAAATCAACCATGCCATTATGTATAACTA